TACTGCCCATTTCAAAATAAAAGGCGGGTGGGTATTTTTTGAATATTTTTCGATAGAAATGCGGTAGAGAGCTGCGGTTTTCACCGTTGGAAAGAGGCTTTTCCAGCGCATCGTTCCATATAAAATTGTTGAGGTTTACCTCAATTGTAGGTAGTGACCCATAGTCATCTTTGAAGAGTACATTATTGCTCTGTGATGATAGAATGAATTTTAAACTTTGAGGAGTGTTCTAGAATCGCCAGCTCAAGCGATACAAATCTACGAAAAGCCGAATCTTTTATCTCATTTCGCTCAAAAGTTATGAGTCAAACACACACGACATTTGATCGATTTTTTACCAATCTGAACGTCCGTGAAATATTTTTCTAACTATTTTTAATGATGTTTTCGATTATGCTGAATCATTAGGAGCATATACTTTGCTATACAGTAACTCTTTTTCTATTAAAATATTATAAGGAGTCGTTGTCAATACTGTTTTGATGTGCTACCACACTGTTTACTTCGAATAAATGCACCATTTCCACAATTACTTATAAACACAAACATAATACCTTAGGTTTTCTTCTTTTAATCAGGATTGAAAGAAGGACAATAAGTGAAAACATATCGTTAATCGTCCATCTCTTCTTCGACGAATCAGTATCTTCTTCTTCATCTATTAGCTGTTCTTCGATTTCTTCAATAAATCTATCAGACTTCTTGAACATGTTCTCAATCTTCTGTGTTTCGTTAATGTACCCCATAGCAGTTACTTTACTCAAAGATAACATCCACTGATGCGCCAAATGTCGAATGTCTTTGAGACTAAAATTGACATTATTGTCACGCACATAGTTCTTCAAGCCTGCCCATGCTAATTCAATTACATTACATAAAATCTCGACACCATATTCTCTGGCAACCTCATCAACCACATATTGTTATGGTGGTAAGTTTTCGAAAGCGAGAACCAACAGTTCGGCTTTAGTAGGTTTCATAGGAACTGATATATTATGATTGATTAACCACTGGATGATAAGTTCTTTTCGCCATTCTCTTTTTGGAGGAATAGTTTCTTCGGTCAGCTGATTATGCCAAGTAACATTATCAATAATTAAAGCAATCTTGGTATGTCGACCTAAGCATATCAACGATGATGTTCACAATAAAAAATTACAAATCATATTACAAAATTCTTTCCTCAAAATTGAGCTTGTTCGATCGATCCAGCTCAGAAAGTGTTGCGAATTCATAGTATGATTTTCGTCACACTCGAACATATCAATTGTTTCCTTATGAAAGCCTGACTCACTTAGAAGAGCAGAAATCGCCAACCGTTTTCCTATAGTTATAAATGGTGTTCATTTAAGATAACATAAAAATAATGAATACCTTTATTCTGCCTATCTCGCATTCGTCCTTTGCCAGTCATTCCATCTGTCCAGACAAAACGCTTCTCTTCATTTTGATTGGCCCATGTTTCATCGTACCAGAATATCTTAGTACCAGTACTGCGTAGCTCATCAAGACCAGCAAAATAGCGCGCACGCGCTGCCATAAATGTGAGAGTATCAAGTGGCACTTTGACTTTTGATGTTCTTTGATATTTAAAACCGATCTTTCTCATCCAACGCCATAATGTCGTTGACGATTGGACAGGAAAATCAGCATCTGTACTTCGAATTCGAATAAGAACTTTGGCAACAGTGGGATAGATTCGCTCAGCCAGGAGAGAATGCATATGAAATCTAAATAATGATTATCTCAATATTATTTTTCGGCTACCTTCGATTTAAATAACCTCACCTGATGGTTTCCTGCTGTTCTTCTGTTAAGATGGTTAGTGGACGACCAGCATTTGACAATTTACGCGGTGAACAAGATACAGGATCACCGATTGAATTGGCGTTGATACTGGTCGTAGATGATGAGGATGATGATCTTGATCGTAGATTTCGAAGTCGGCTTAGTACCTGGGCTTTTTGATTCTCTATCTCTTCTTTTTCTTCATTCATTTTTCTTCTTCTTTCCATCATAGAATTTTCGATTTCTCTCATCTCATTCTTCAACCGTTCGACAGATCTTGTAGAAATGTTTAGCATCGATGATAATCGTTCGTTGACATTGAAGAGTGGGATCACCGGACCAAATTTTTCTTTTTCGACAAATTTGATGACGTTCAAAAATATCTGCTTCATGTCGTAAGAAAACTCTTGACCTGTGGGCATTTTAATAGCATATATTGATAGTAGGAATAAGTATATTACGCTACAAATATATTATAATCCAAAGTGGAGAAAAGAAAATCAAATCTGAAAGCAAAAATATATGATTCAATTTATGTAGAATCTTACTTATGTCGCTTATAGTAAAAATTAATTGTGAAAATGATGCATATATTCGAAGTAAACAGTGTGGTAGCA